GTTTTGTGCCTAATCTACCAAAAAGAGAAATTTCTCATTTCAAAAGAAGGAAAACACATTGAGTCATATTATGCAAAGGCAAATTATGTGGAACCCACTATATGGCTAGACCTTGGATTATTTTTGCAATTATAGGCACTGTAGAAGGAGAGCCATGGTAGTCTATAGTTGCAAAAAATCAGGGATTTGGTAGCATCTTTTCTGATTTACAAATTTTGTTAAAAGACACACTTTGTGAATTGAAACTCACTTCATCAGGTGCAGCAGCTGCAGTGCACAAAAGCTTATGCCTTTCAGTAACATTTTCTAGTTGGAAAAAAATCCTTCAAGACTTTCTGCTTTATTGCAATTGTGGTAATTGGAGGAAATGAAACACTTAAATTCTGTAATTTCTCTTCTTTTTTATGTCAGCTTCAAAAAATAAAGTATCAAGCGGATTCAAGCAAAAAAGCTGTGATCCAAACATTGTTGGAGAACCTCCCACCCATTAACAGGCCTCAAAGGACCCATCAAGGCATGATGTATCTTTTTTCAGAGGATATGTATAGAGGTATTAGAGTGAAGTACAGTCTGTTTTGTAGTTGAATGTGAAGCCTTGCAGTTTTGTGCTTAATCTAGCAAGAAGAGAAACAGTTTTATTATCTTGAATTTTTTTTGTGCTTCTCACCTCTATCATTTGAAGATGTGATGTAAAATATCAGCATTAGATATAGATGAATATACAGGTGGTCCTCACTTGAGCCCATCATTTTTGTTAAACGAGACAGTTAAGTGAATTTTGCTCCATTTTATGATTTTTCTCGCTACAGTTGTTCAGTGAATCATTGAAGTTAGTAACATGGTTAAGTGAATCTGGCTTCCCCATTGATTTTGCTTGTCAAAAGGTCACAGAAGGGGATCACATGACCCTGGAACACTGCAGTTGTCATAAATATGAACCAGTTGCCAAGTGCCTTAATTTTTATTCAGTGAGTGTGAGGATGCTGCAACAGTTATAAGTATGAAAAATGGTCATAGATCACTTTCTTCAGTGCCATTGTAACTTCAAACGATCACTAAATGAAATATTGTAAGAGGAAGATTATCTGTACTTATGCATGATGTTAGATGCAAGATAGTATTTGTTTATCTATATGCAAAGAGTAGTAAAGTTAGGATCCAATTTTAATTTTCTGTGCTGAAAACAGTCTTTTCTTTCAGTGCTAACTTGACAGAGCAAAACCATTCTGTTGATAGAAAAAAAATGAGAAAAATGAAAATCACCTTCTGATTTGTCATGCCTGTTCTTTACTATCGGTAATTTCCATTGTAAGGATCTAAAAATTCTAAAGTTCATAGTAATACTTAGTAATCATAGTAATAGTAATAGTAATCCTAAATTCATACTATTAATTTGGGAGAATGTTATTTTTTTAAAGTGATAGTCTGTGATATTTTAATGTGCCATTAACATTCATTAAAGATAGATAATAATCAAATCAGGGATCACTTTAGTATTAATAGTTCTTTTAACAGTGCTTTTAAGCATTGTCTAAGAGTTCCCTTTTGGGGCAAAAGATAGAAGAAATAGAGATTTTCTGATCAGACAATAGGTATTAATTCTTAACAATAATGATTTTAAAATGACAAAAACATGTGTCATATTGCTTATTTTTTCATTTTCCCTCACTTGTCCATACTGTAGTTCCCTGTGGGGGGATGCAGTCTGAAACTCCTTATTTAAGCTTTTAACATTTATTCAAGTAGTTCTGAGTAAACTACCATACAACTGTAGTTTAAAAGAACAGAACTCAGACACCAAAGTAGATTTAGAAATTAAAAAGGGTTCTAGGCTATTTGATAAAAAATGCATATATTTTTCCAGTAATATATAATTCTTCCAACTTAAGTTTGTTCTTAACTCAAGTTTGACTTCAGATATTATGGGAACGTGGCAATATCTCCCTCACATATTACAGACTGAAATGAGAAAAGAAAAATGAACAAACAGAACATAGTATTATAAATTGATAAATCACCTTGCATTTAAATTTTCTTAGCAGTTATAGACATACAGAAAAAATAATGCAGGTTATTTCTTTCCCCTGCAGATAGATTTAGAAATTTCTTAAATGTTGAAATATAAAGTCACAAATAAAAAAAGTTAAAATCTGTTTGCCATTGTTCTGGAAATGATATAAGTAAAATTATGCACTTCATTTCAAGGCTATTTTCTATGCTGTTGTTAAGAATTTGGAAGTACTATATTCTTGTCTAATTCTCTTAAGTGCTTGATCTCTGTAAGCAGTATAGCTTTCATACTCGGTGATTTTTTTTGTTAATATAGAAGTACTATATATAGAAATAATATAAGACACATGGCTCAGTGGCTAAGACGCTGACCTTGTTGATCAGAAAGGCCGGCAGTTCGGTGGTTTGAATCCCTAGCACCATGTTCTGACCAAGGCTTCTTGAGACACTAACAAACACAGTCCCAAAACCCTTTTTTCTTTATTTCAAGGGCTGTGAATTTTAGTCATTCACAGCCCGTAATGAGTCTCAAACAGTTTGTAAATAGTCCCATGGAAGTCTGCCAAAGTCCTTCAGGGTAAGTCTGATAAGCATACACCTTTATCTTTCTTGAAATGCTGCCAATGACTAAATTTCCAGTTAGTTATACAAGGCCAAACGGAGCACAAATTCACCACAAAGCTTCAGATTTCAAACTGATCAGTACGAACAAAGTTGCTTCCTGCAAAGGTTCATGTTCTTTTGCTCCTCCTTTATGTCTTATGGGAGGGCCAATCACCTCCAAACCTTATTCCTGAATTACTCCTTTTGTCTTAACTGTTCTTGCCTTCTGGCAGCTCTGCACACGCTCGCACTGGGAACAGGCTTGTTCCTCTGCCTCGCTGCTGTCAGATTCTGGACGCTCCGGAGTCAGTACATAACTCCCAGATGGCCCTGGCCCCATCTCTGTATTGGATGCAGTCATCCTCAGACTCCCGGACTGGCCCATGTTCCTTCCCACTGTCCAACTCTGCTGCTGTCTCTGCAGGCTGCTGGCGGACCACAACACACGTAATGGAGTGAGCTCCCGCTATTTGCCCCAACTACTTGCCAACCTAGCAGTTCGAAAGCATGTAAAAATGCAAGTAGAAATATAGGGACCACTTTGGTGGGAAGGTAATAGCGTTCCATGCATTTAGTCATGCCGTCCACATCACCATGGAGACGTCTTCAGATAGTGCTGGCTCTTCGGCTTTGTAACAGAGATGAGCACTGCTCCCTAGAACCGGAAACGAGTAACATGTATGTGTGAGGGGAACCTTTACCTTTAGCTTTTTACTGTGTTTTTTATAGCTAAGCAATCATTGTAGTTCAAGGTTTTTAACAAGGAAAGGGGTTTATAAAACCAACAAACTGAAAACAAGGAGTAAGAGTAATATCGTATCCATATAAGGTATTAACATTTTAAGATGGAAAGAGGATACAGTTATTAGTTGAAAGGGCAACAAAAAGTCTGTGAGGGAAAAAAAGATCAATACTGGGGTTCGCATATATAGCGTACCACTACTTCAAGAAGTCTGCTCCTAAAATTTATGTGTCTATTAAAGTATTAGCATATTTTCAAAGTGATGGAAACCTGAAAAAAATAGGCTTCTTAATGAATAGCAGTGTGGTACTCTGCTTGCATGATGTCAAAAATTTCCAAATAATTTTTAGAACATGTACAATATTAATAAATATTCTACCATTCATCCCAGTGTTTAACTTAGTTCCTAGTACTACATGGTCTTGGCAGTTTCCTTGGGAATAGACATGCTTTTTTAAAAAAAATCCTTCCAGCTTTTTAAAAAAAATCTCAGCCTAGCCTATAGCTCATGGATTTCCCAAGATCTCAAGTATTGAGCTTGTCTGTTCCTTCTTAATACTTTTTTAAATTAAGTCCAAGTTGTCTAAGGTGCCTATTTGCCTTTAAACACTTTCATTCTCATCAGTGTCTGCAATGAACTATGATTATATCTAAATGACAATGCACAAATGACAATGTTAGGATAGAAACTGTCCTTATATACTTTTGTCTTATAGACTAATGTAAGTATATAAGCTGCAGTTTGCATCTTGATGTGTGTTTTGGCACTTGTCTCCTGTGGACACCCAATTCTCAACTTCCTGACTGCAATAACTTGAAAAAAATAACCTGAACAAACCAATAATTTATCCGCAACTCTAGTTCAGTGATCAGTATTTCAACTGATTGTAATTAAATATTTAGTTCTCCTTTTTTAACAAATATAATTTTTGCATACAAGATGAACACTGATTACAATCTGGCATTTGTTATGCAGATCAAATGCTCAGTCTCTTAAGACTGAAACAAACAAAATATGGATATAATAGGCTGAGTCATCTGTATGTCTAGTCCACTAGTCTCCACAATCCAAGAATCAATAGATGCGTCTGTGAAATAGTAAATAATTATAACCATTTTATTACTGAGAAAATATGATTAGACTTGGATAATAGCTGCCATTTAGGTAGAGAGTATAACTGTACTTTATAACATCTCTTGAAATACCTCAAGGTGCAATCTCATATTTTTCTGCATACAAGTCCCAAACCTAAACACCTGATCATGAAAGTCCTAATGATTTGTTTTTCCTGCAATCCAGTTGTGGAATTCAAATCACTAGAAAACAGAATCGCCATCAAGAATATTATTTTTTACTGAAACAATATTACACACGTTTTCATTAATATTTCTATTTCTCCTTCCTCAACTATCAACTTTTCACACTAATTATTTCAAATGTCTCTTGTTTCAACGTACAAGCTTTCCAAAATAGTCTATAGTATGTTTGACTTCACGCTTCTGCTTCTGTAATTCAGAAAAGCGCCTTACAACTGCAAGTCAAAAAACAGCAATTTGAACGAGCCAAAGACTATAGTAGTAAACGGGGGGAAGGCCCCGCCAAAATTACAAGCGGAACTACAATGCGGGGGAGTTTGGGAAGCCGTTGGAGGAAGTGACGTATTAGTGTAGGGTATGAGGTTTGCTAACAGCAGGGGCAGTCAGCCGAAAAAAGGCTACTGGGAAAAGGAAGAGATGTTGCAGCATGACAGTCTCGTCGGAGTAAAGTCCTGCTGTGGCGAATGGTGGTTGATTGAGGCAGCTGGTAAGGATTTTTATTAGGCGTCTAGCAGCGATTGGTTGGATAACGAGCATTTCTCACGGTCTGAAAGCGGGAAAATATTCAGGGTGTATTACTGTTGAGCTGCAGATTTTGAGAGGTGATCTTGAACTGCAGGGCAAGCGGGAAAATACTTCATAATTTGCCCAGTGCCGGTTCTCCGCGACTCAAATGCTATAGATAAGATTGCATGTACAAAAAGGATAGCGCTAGGGAAGAGAGGCCTAAATGAGATATTAGTATTGTGAAGTCTAATGAATCTCTTAGGAGCGGCAAGTAGAAGACAGAAGGTCTTCCGTCTGTTGATAGGGTTTCTCTCTCTCTGTTTAGTAGATGGTTAAGCAGTTTCGAAGCACACGCGCCAAAATCCCGATTTTTTAAATATACCTTTACGTTTTTAATCGAGGATCCCGACTCCCATAATTCAGTCACCATGCTTTACACTCGCCACTCCACTCGCGGGAAAACAGCAACTCAATTAAATTGCCTGAAGACTTAGCGAAGATTCCGCCACGTTAATACTACTACTTTTGATGCCAGCTTGGCTACTGACGGCTTCACAGACGTTCAGTGTAGCGATTTTGGCAACAAGCTCGATAAAAATTTATTTTTTGTTATATGAATATATTTTGTAAGGTAATATACATAAATAAAATACCTACGTATTTAAATCTGTTCACCTAAAATGCTTGATTGCCTGGTGGTAAAAACTTTAGGTGGTTACTTGCAAGTAGAGTTTTTATATTTGGTTGGGTAGTCTCCTCTTGAATCTATAAAATTATCAGACAACTACAGATAGCCTTTGACAGATAACCACAACTGAGCCCAAAATGTCTGCTGTTAAGTGAGATGTTTGTTAAGTGAATTTTGCCCCAGTTTACGACCTTTCTTGCCACAGTTATTAAGTGAATCACCACAGTTGATTAGTAACACAGTTGTTAAGTGGATCTGTCTTCCCCATTGATTTTGCTTGTCAAAAGTGTGTAAAAAGTGATCACATGACCTTGGGACACAGTAATAGTAATAAGTATGAACCAGTTGCCAAGCATCTGAATTTTGATCACATGATCATAGGGATAAATCAAAGGTTGTAATGTGAAAATGGTCATAAATCACTTTTCAGTGCCATTGTAACTTTGAAAGGTCACTAAATGAACTATTGTAAGTCAAGGACCAACCTCCACACCGAAATAACATTAACCTTTAGAGGTAATGCAGTGACTATTGTATTGACTTCCTTCCTGAGGATCTGAAAGTGCACTATTGAATTCATGGCTTCCCCCATTTTTTGAAGCTACAGGTCTCTTGTGTTATCATCATTGACAAATTCCACTTGTCTACCTCATATGAAACCTACATTGGGTTTTGTGCAGTGATTGATTCTTGTTCCTTCAGCCAAAATTAGATTAAAGATTAGATGTATTGGAGAAGCAGATTAGAAAGATAGATTATGTTGATTTTGTATATTCTGATATGTCTTATATCCCTCACAGATTCAAAATGTTGGGTTATTAGGTGTTCATGCTATTACTCTAAATACTTTTATCTTGGAAATTTTCCTCAAACTCTCATCTGTACAGTTTTTGAAAGAAAGCTTTTATTTATATAAATATCAAAATGATTCTAGGTAAGAGCAATTTTGCTTGTTTTCTGTACTTTTGTTTATATTCCTCATGTTAATAAGTTTACTTATCAGTAATGATTTTCATTCTCAGTTTGTGGAATGGATAGTAATGCTAATAAAGAACAGAGTTGGGCCCTATAAGAGACTTACTACTAAATTCATAGTCAAGCTGTGGAATAGTTTACCAAAAGATCTAGTGAAGGCATCATTTAGAAGTCTTTAAAATAGATTTAGAGAATTTATGTAGGATAAAATAATAATAAGTAATCATGATGGCTATATCTTCAGTATCAGTGGTAGCATATCTGTGAATACCTTTTTCAAAAAAATATGAATTGATGTAATTGCCGATGCCCTCCTTACAAAGGTCCTGTAGGAATTTAATTGTCACTGTGGGGACAGAATACTGGAATAAAGAGACTTTTTCTGTGATCTAGCATGACTCTGCTTGTATTCTCTCTTGGTGAATGGGTGTTCCTTTACAAAACTACAAGCAGCATTTAAGATTGAACTCACAGCCTGGTCTACAGACTTCTAATGGACTAATATATCTCTTGCTAGCTAGCTCCACCTGGTTCAGAATTAAGTGTATAATCTCAGGTACTATATAGGTAAGATGCTTGTTCTACCATGGTACGAAATGCGAATAATTTAAAATTAATAAAATATAAAATATATGTAAAGAATAAATAATAATATGATACATTTTCAAAATTATGAATCACCACTCATTAATCACTAAGCTTTCATAGATCTGAAAAACATTTCAAAATCATAGGTGGCAGAAGTCTAATTCCAGATATAATTATTGTTATCTACATTTTTATATACTTAGTTATATAAGTAATATTGTTTTTCTAAAACAATTCCAAAAACATGAATAGGTCAAATTCTGGCACTTGGAAACAATTTTAATATTAACCTTTATCATATCCAAAACACTGAACTAAAAAAACATACAGGTAGTCCTCGATTTACAACAGTTCATTTAGTGACAGTTCAAAGTTACAATGGCACTGAAAAAAAGTGACTTTTGACCATTTTTCACACTAATAACTGTTGCAGCATCCCCATGGTCACCCTACCTGATCATAATTCAGATACTTGAAAACTGGCTTATATTTATGATGGTTCAGTGTGCTGAGGTCATGTGATCACCTTTTGCAACCTTCTGACCAACTGTTGTGGTTAGCCAGCAGCAGGTGTGGATGGCTGAGGAGAGCAAGGACTCAGATGAAGGGCCAGGACCATTAGGGAGTGGATTGCTGCCTTCAGAGATTGTGGGGGCTGGGAGCAGCGATGAGGAGGTTCCTGGGGAGCCTGTGCCATGCAGGAAAGAGCAGCTACAACAGCACGGGCAACTCGGGAGTAAGGCTACAAGGTAATGGCCCCTCCTTCAAGAAGATAAAAGGCAGCTGTGAAGCGAACATTCTTTGTAGGAAGCAAAGACGTTTTGAAACTCAGCTTCGTGGACATTACAGTTGGTATTGGAAGACTCTTGTGTTGTAAACTTTCTTTTCTGTTTTTTGGCAGCCTTGCAAAAACTTCATAAGGCTCTTGTCGGAGCTAATTAGTTGGAAGCATCCTTTTATCTGTGAAGAAACGGTTCTTAGCTGAAACATTAAAAGGTTGTGCCTTTGTCTTGTGTTTGCTCTCTTGGAACCAGGTTTGGGTCAGAACACCAACCGAGTCAATGGCAAAGGCAGATTCACTTAGCTGTGTTACTAACATAACAACTGCACTGATTTACTTAACAACTGGGGCAAGAAGGGTATGGGGCAAAATTCTCTTTAACAGTTGTCTTGCTTATAACAGAAAATTTGGGCTCACTTATGGTCCTGTGTCAAGGACTACCTGTATCAATTGTCCATGTGTTCTAATCCTATGATCATTTTTTGTGTTCATTTCTGCATTTTTCCAAGTTTGATTATATCCTTTTTCAGAAGGGCATCAGAATGGTTTCATATGTAGAGAGAAAGAGATCTGATACCACGAGCATGTTTTACAAAGTCCTGGTTGATCCCATGAAAAAACAATTCTAGTATGGGTGTTCAGGTTTGAGGATCTGGATAAAAATATGACTATTACATAGCAGGTTGGTGTCTGTTTGGTGAGATTTCATTTTGTATCACTTTGATTCATCAGAATATTTAGCATATGAAACAACAAAGACAGTAGTCCTCAACTTACAATAGTTCATTTAGTGAGAAAAGCAACTTATGACCATTTTTCACATTTATGATGTTTGAAGCATCCCCATGATCATGTGATCAAAATTCAGATTCTTGCCAGCTGGTTCATATTTATGACCGTTGCAGCATCCTGGGGTCATGTGATCCCCTTTTGAAACCTGACAAAGTCAATGAGGAAACCAGATTCACTTAAGAACCAGGTTATTAACTTATAAACTGCAGTGATACACTTAACAACTTGAGCAAGAAATGTCGTAAAATGTGGAAAAATTCACCTAACAAATGTCTCACTTAACAAGAGAAATTTTGGGCTCAGTTGTGTATGTCAGGGACTGCTTGTACACATCTCTGTAACTTGTGTCCTTTATTATGTTAAGAAGCACAGCATTTGCAGTGTAAATAATTTCTATTAATTATGTTCCATTTGATGTTTACTTGGGGTTTTTTCATGACATGAAGCAATTTATTGAGCCAACTTTTTCTTTTCAACAGACTTCTTTGCTTATATAGTCTCTCCTTTTTCCACACTTCATGACTAAATTGAGTCAGTTGCAGCATGTTTAAGGTTTATCCTTTAAAGCTTATTTGAAATTATAGTACAGTGCTATATAATGATTCAGTGTTTACAGATGCACAAAGTTAAAGTTGTGTTAAGGTTTGGTTTAAAATTATCCCAGTTGCTATTTCATTTTGCATTCAGTAAAATACAGTTTTGTTAATCTTTCCAAATGTTCTGATACAAAAAATCTAAACCATATCTGTGGAATATCTATGTCAGGATTCCAAGTAATAATTCCATAGCAAGCAAAACTCCGAGGCAGGTGAATTCCTCAAAGAATAGCTTTGTTGGAAATATATTGGCAGAGGTCTGGTGAAAACTGATTCTAAAGAGTCCCGCAGTTTTCACCTAATTAAAAGTAAACGTTTTTTCTCTTTCTCAAAACAATCAGTCACATGGTCGAATCACGGTGCGGTCTGACAACCGGGTAGCTTCACTCTGCCTTCGTCCGACCAGGTGTGAGAATGTCCTTGATTCCCAAGAGAAAGTGTTTTGTTTCGGCTACAGAATCCCCTCTATCTCAAATCCCTTTTCCTTATCCCTCAGGTCTAATGTGGCAACACTGAAGAGGTAAAAATGGCTTCGGTCAGGTCAGCTTCAGGGTTGACAGTCTATATGGCTATTGTCTTCTCTTTCCATTGAGTATTCAGGAATGATACCAATAAAGGCGAATATTTATAGCTCAGGGTTGGCTGTTTTCTTGCAGATGTTTCATCACTCAAACTAGATAGCATCATCAGTAGTAGCACCTAGTTTTGGTAATGAAACGTCTGCAAAAAAAACAACCAAGCTCAGAGAACAGTGACTCCTTATTCAGGAGTGATTAAAGACCTTTCCATTTCTTTCCAATTTCTTTGGATAAATCATGTCCACCATACGAGTAATGTTCTCTTTAAGGATTTTTGGCATGTTGCTTTTTTCAGTATTATTGATGCAGAGCACCCTGCATTTACTGTAGCAGCTGTTTCCAAGATAGCAGATTGGTTTAATGTTTTCTGTAGAAATAGATGCCATGGACAATAACAGCGTGAGAAGAATAGTATTGTGAAATATCAGGATTTCTATTCCTTTACTAATAAATTCTGGTTTCACATTTATGGATTGCCCAAAACATTTTAATTGTTTTTTACTCCCAATCTAGTATCCTTAGCAAGTTCTCTCTTTTCCAGTGCTTTGAAAAGTTTGTTCCTGCAGCTGTTAAGATATATCTTAGCACATTGTGATTTTTCTCATTTATGTTTTCTGGAATTATACTTAATTGAAGTGTCTTTGGTTTCAGTTCATATTTTAGTTTAAGGATTTTTTAAAATAAATTGTATTATTTTCCAGTACTTTTCTGAGGTTTTTAAATATAAACATTACATGTGCTGTCTATTTAAGAGATATGGAATACCTTAAGTGTGTATTGACTAATGCCCCTTACCAAAAATATATACAGTATACAGTACTGTAGATACTAAAAGCACAGCAGGAATAAACAAACACAGTTCCTGCTTTACTGTAGTGAATTTCTCATAGACTGAATATCCTGAATCCATTTTAATAACATGAATTGATTTTGGATATATATTGCCAAATTAGACATGAGTGACATTCAGATTGTCTCTGAGGCAGGTAAAGAAATGATTGGCTAAAATTTGGAACATATTTATCTATTTTGAACCCACTTTTACTGTACTTACAAGTACCTATCTAATACTCCTTTCTCCTCCTACTTTTGTCACTACAATAACAACCCTGTGAGGTGACTTGGACTGAGAGAAAGCGACTGTTTCAAAGTCATCTAGCTAGTTTTTATGCAGAGCTAGGATTCATAGCCTCCTGATTTCTAGCCTGGTGCCTTAATGCTAGACCAAGTTGTCTCTTGTTCCTGATGTACTGTACTACCATTCACAGATTATAACTAACTAGGTTGACAGTGTGTACCCATTGTCTGTTATGGGGTGGATATGTTTTTAATGTGAATCACAGAAATTTGTTATTTCTCTGTCACTATCTTTTCCCCCCCTCCAATATAGGATTTTAATAATGGATTATTTCATGGCTTGCACATTTCTCTTTACCCTGATATTACCAAGAGGTATGACTACTGACACAGAGAAGAAAAGCTCAGATTCAGGATTGGAAATCTGTATCCTTCTTCCAGTTTTGGGTCTTGGATTTGAAATTTGCCACCTTCACATTTCATAGATAGACTAGGAGCAAGATGAAATTGTCTACTAAATTGGGACAATCTTGAGGCATCATGTGGAATACCTCTGGATTCATTAGAGACCTTTTTGAATGGTCTGCAGTGTTACAGAGTTCCTGGGCTGCTATAATCTGCAGCTTGACAAAGAGTTATTGGGACATAATAAAAGAAAACATTAATGTCTTCCATACTCATATCCTACTTAATGTCTTCCAAAATGAAGACCAAATCAAGTGTGTGCTCATCCATGTGTTTTGGAGCTACAATTATTTCTGACGATCCCATGGTTGTCTTAGAATCCATCAACACTGGAAAACCTTATCCCATCCCTCAGTCATAGAGGTTGAAGTCATCCCAAATTGAAAGTCTCAGGAACTCCAATATCAACCTGACATGAATTTCAGGTGCTCATGAAGGGCCACCTCTGAGCAGCTGGGTGGTCAGCATTTCAAGATGTAGGCTCTTACAACCAATCATTTTGGAGTAGTGTTCCTTATCACCTTAAAGTTCTCATGAACTGTCACAAAACAACTCTGGGTTTGGTATTGTGACTGAAGTAGGATCTGAAATCATCTGGCAAATTTCCAATATACCCATTTTTGTACAACTAAGTCTCAGTAATATGTATTGAGTTCATGTGTTTGTCTCCCATCTTGTCATAGATGAGTGCAATCCTATTCTGCATAGGTCTGGTATTTACCAATAAGATCTAAAGAGAGGCACCAGATAATTCAGGCACCTGAATTTGGGTGACTAGTATATTTCAGATTGGCATTTGTAGATTTCTTTTAAGATAGGTGCTTAGATTCTATAGTTTAAAAAACCAGCTACTTGGTGAAATGTTTATCTTTGAAGAGGTATAATTAAAGTCAAAAAGATAGATTGGAAGATTATGCTGTGTATTGTTATGTTGATGAGGCCATAGAACAAAATATGGGACTTCTGATCTGTATGGTACACTTGACCAAGACACAGATAAGAAACTGTTTGAAGTAAAGCGCAAAGACCAAATGAATGCACTGAAGAACCTGATTGAACTCGATGATGTCAACCAGCAGTACAAGATTATAGACATCATGCTTAAGGGTCTTTTCAAGGTAAGCCTTGCTTAACTGATCCCCATTTTTTTTTATTATAGCATGTTTCTTGAATACTCCTAAATCAGTATTAGGAAAATAATGGAAAGTTTAGCCCCTATGTCATTAGCTAATTGGATTGTGAGCTAATTCAACGGGGAGAAAAAGCATTCACAATCCCACAAAGTAGATTGCTGAAAAATTTAGCAGCAGCCATTCTGAGCAGTTCTCTTTTATGATTTGGCAGCCAAGTGTTTGGGAAGAGAAGATCATGTCTCTTGGATATACAGGTAGTCCTCGACCTACAACCTTAATTTAGCCCAAAATTTATGTTGCTAAGCAAGACAATTGTTAAATGAGTTTTGCTCCATGTTATGGCCTTTTTTGACATAGTTGTTAAGTGAATCACTGCATTTGTTAAATTAGAAACACAGTTGTTAAGTGAATCTGGCTTTCCCATTGACTTTGCTGGAAGGTCAAAAAATGTGATCATATGACCTCAGGACATTGCAACTGTCATAAATACATACAAGTTGCCAAGCATTCAAATTTTAATCATGTGACCATAGGAATGGTTCAATTGTAAGTGTGAAAAAAGGTCATAAGTCACTTTTTTCAGTGCTGTTGTAACTTCAAACTATCACTAAACAAATGGTTGTAATTTCTTGGGGACAGCTTTGAGTTTACAGTAGTTACCTGTAAATGTTTTTAATCAGCTACCTTTTCATGAGTTTTATCTCCTTGGCAAAGGTTAATATAGAAGGACAATTTCAATAGCTATTTCATCAATATATCTTGGCTGCATTCACTTAATACTTTCCTATGCCTAGTACGGAGCATCAAGACCTATTTCTTTCTTAGTATAAAAATACAGCACCCTGATATGTTTTGAATAATGATTTTTTGGTCATAGTTGAGGAACTTTAGTCTTAATCTCCTGGCAAAATGTACATGGTACATGTACTTCAGATACCAGGGCAGCCTCTAACCTGATGCCCTTCAGATATCTTATAATACAAGTTCCATATTTCCTATCTAGAAGACATAATTTGGGTCAGCTGGGTAAGATATTTATTTTATTATTCTGCAAATTATTCTGCCGTGGCTCCTTTTCTAAATTCTCTAGCCAGTTACATTAGCTAGGTATCTTTCTCCAACAGATTAGAAGAAAAGATTGGGGAAGGGGAATTAAGAAGGGACTTGCTAGCACACATATCATAGTTGGGGCAGCATTGGCATAAGTTGACATGAATTTCTGTTGTGATGGGCAGGTTCTTGAAGACTCACGAGCAGTACTTATAGCAGCAGATGTTTCACCAGATGGGCCATTTTCTCATGATGAGAAGATAAAGGATGGTACAAACTTTTTGTCTTCTAATCACAGTTTCTTTGTCCATTACCTTTTATCCATTAAATATATAGCTTTGAATTGTTAAGCAATAAAGTTATGTCATATTGACTACTCTTTCTTAGTTACTTCTATTTTTTTACATTGTTATTTATAATAGTCATAAGTGGTGAATAGAACCCACATGCATGATATATGAAACTTGAAACAGACCAGAGTCTTGCTATTTTACTTTAGTATTTGAAGGGAAAATAGTATTTTAGGAGATGGCCAATAACATGATTGATATTTTGAATTTCCTCAATTAAATCTCCATTTAATCCCGGGTGTAGATATAAATAAGTAGGTATCTAGATATTCATACATAAATGTCTGTATTAAAGAAGTTATGTTCTAAGCCAGAGATCAGCTCTCTTTTTCTAAGCATTTAGGTAACATATTTGAATTTCCAAATGCTGCACTTCATTAGTCTGGATTAATGATATGCCTGTATTTTTATATTAATTAGCTTAATCACTAATATAGGTGAGAATCCTTATTCTTCTGTCTTTTCTTTCTTTCCCTTGATTAGGAAAAATGTTTTATTTTAATTAATACTTATTCGAAAGCAATGTTTCAAGTGTGTTGAATAATTAGATTGTTCTGAGTTTTTCATTGTAACTCTCTTTTCTTAGCCTATTCCCATGTGGTAGAGAATACTGCTTTTTTTGGGGATGTAGTCCTACGTTTTCCCAAAATAGTGCATCACTACTTTGATCGCAACTCCAATTGGAACAACCTCATTCGCTGGGGGATCAGCTTCTGCAACCAGACAGGCGTATTTGATCAAGGTCCCCACTCACAAGTATTAGGATTGGTAAGACAGTATGCCTGCTTGGCACCTCCTCTTTGTTTATTCTTTAGAATTGGGTAGTAATTTATTGAAATTGGGTTAAAGTTTGAGGAAAACAAATATTTGCTTGAAATGTTTCAGGATGTCTCTATAGAAAAAGAAATTGTGGATAAACTGCACATAGTTAACTGTTAATGTTAGATATAGGTATATTCCAGAAAAGGTATTCAGCAGGTTCTGACCAGTTCTGGAGAACCGATAGTGGAAATTTTGAGTAGTTTGGAGAACCAGTAGCATAAATTTTGAGTAGTTCATAATACCACCTCTGACTGGCCCCGCCCCCATCTATTCTCTGCCTCCCGAGTCCCAGCTGATCTGCTGGGTCTTCTTTTGTTGCCCTGCACAAAGGAGCTGAAAAGCAGGTTAGTGGGGTGGGGAGGGAATGGGATTTTGCAGTAATCTTCCCCTGGAGTTGAGGTATAAATGGAGATTTTGCAGTATTCTTCCCCTGCCACGCCCACCAGGCCATGCCCACCAGACCATACCACACCCACCAGGCCACGCCCACAAAATTGGTAGTAAAAAAATTTGAATCCCACCACTGGTATATTCTAATACAAATGATTGCAATTTCTTAGCCAATATTTTAAATAGTGTTTTATAGGCTGTGTTTGTCTGTTTCCTGCTCAGAGTTTCTTCTGATAGATGGGCAGTATATAAGTTTGTTTAATAATAAATAAGTGCTTGTATAGGCATTTTACATATTCTACTTAGATCAGAGTTCCCCAACATTTCCAGTTTTGCAAATTGGGGACGGACAGGATGGTTCCAAGCAGCCGGCAAGCGCGCACACAAACACACACAGCTCCATTTGTGCAATCAGCATGCACGTGTGCCTGCAGCTCATGCAAATGGAGCACGCTTGCATGCACACATATTCTACTCGCACAAGTCAGGATGCGCATGCTTGCACGCACTTGCCAGCCATTTAGAATTCTTTACTGGCCAAGTGTGATTGGACACACAAGGAAGAATTCTAAATGGACTGCAAGCACGCACATCCCGACTTTCCGTGGCCGGTTGCAATCCCCTCACAGCCCACAGATTGGGGACCCCTGACTTAGATGACTAGTTTACACAAAAGTTGCACACTTATTACAACAGATAATTTGCTTTTGTAGTATCTACATAGGCATATAGAAACATACTGATACCATCTTAATAGTATGGTCTTCTGATTTAGCACATATGTGCTTTCTAAGCCAGGGGTAGTCAACCTTTTTATACCTACCACCCACTTTTGTATCCCTGTTAGTAGTAAAATTCTCTCTAACCGCCCACCGGTTCCACAGTAATGGTGATTTATAAAGTAGGGGACAAAACCCCTACTGCCCACCATGAAAGCTAGAACGCCCACTAGTGGGCGGTAGGGACCAGGTTGACTACCACTGTTCTAAGCTATGAAGTTGAAAAAGCAGTCAGGACAAAGATAGCAATCAACAACTTTGGTATTGTTTTGAAAAAACATTTATTGGATAGGTCCATAAAATTAGCAGGAATTGAGCTTAGAAGATTAGTAGGATATTGGTTTTTCCTCTTCACATTGTAAGACTACACAAAGTCTATTTAAAATCTTTATAATTTGCATAGCTGGTAGCACAGCATAGATGGTTATTGGATTAATAAGTCAGCTCAGAAATTCCATGCAAAAGTTGGTATACAGTATGCTTTATTTTGCTGCTTTGAGAGAATTTGCAATTAAAATACCAAATGAGAAAAGTAGGAGATGTATTTTTACTATATTAATTAATTTGTCTTTTATGAAGTCAAATGACTTATTAATTTGCCCATGGTGACCCTGGGGGATTAACATCACATAAAAACAATTGAAAAAACATTGTTGAATTCTGAAGCAGATAATTTCTACAAGGATGCATGTAGGGGCCAGGAGTAAGAGGTCAGTAAGAAGGAGGGATAATAATATACTTTAGATGATAATTATTTTAACATATTTTCTTCCACAGATGGCTCAAGAGCTAGGAATTAGTGAAAGATCTCCAGATTACCAGAATCCCTTTAAAGCAGACAATTCTGAAGTAAGAGTCCATTTTATCTACTATTCCTATCTCTCTCCCCCCTCCCCCTCCCAGTTATTGACAACTTTCTTATGAAGAAAGGGGCAACACTTGCTTGATAGCAGTAGTTTTTCTTCACAACAATAAATCAGAATTTTTCTCTGTAGTGATCCTATGCAGCCAATCAAATGCATATTTGCTTATATTACCTCAAAGTAGCACAGATGATTACCTCCATACAGTTCTTCAGATATTAGCTTGAATTGGCAATAATGGTATGGTCACCTTGGAAACACATCTGAAGCTGGTCAATTTAGCACATAGGGATGTATGGACTTCCATTCAATATTGTTCTAAGTCACTTATTCATTTACTGCAGAGAGATGCAGGATGACTTTCCCATGATGTCCCTTTCAGCATCCATTATGTGCAAGGGGATACTATGACCCTTAGAACTAAGAATTGTAAAATAGTCTTAATCTTGTTGATTTGCTTTCTCTTTCTTGTATGGAGTTCCAAATGTTTGGGGCAAAAGTACAGGGAGCTTGGTGTTCTGATTAGTAACTAGCTATTATCTCCTGAAGATCACTGAAATGTCAGAGAAAAACTGGTGCAACTAAAAGGAAGAGAGTTAGCAACCAAAAAAGTGTTATGCACACTTTTGATACCAGAATCCCTAAACTCATTGTGTTTACTTTTTAGTTTTTCCCTGGTGCTAACACATTCCAGAAGGCTCTTCGGGAGGAAGAGAAGCGAAGAAAGAAAGAGGAGAAACGAAAGGAAATTCGCAAGGGGCCTCGCATCTCACGTTCACAGTCTGAGTTGTAATTTTAATGTCATTTGCCCTATCACTGAAACTTTGGGAGTTAAAACATCTGAAAAGGAATGTCCTTTTGTAACCTCAGGAAAATGACAAGCTTTTGAAAGGCTAGGGCTTAGAAGTGGCATTCTTTCAACAGGACATTGGTACCTACTAAATACCTAGATAGAGACCATGAGGTTTCAGTGCATATTTCCTTATGGGAAGAAAGACTTTTCCAAGTATCTGGAATGTATAGAGTATGTCAGGGACTGTTCTTCATGTGTATTTTTATCTCTCGTGGCTTTGCCAGTTTGTAATGCTAAGAGTTTTAGGAAAATGGGGCAAGAAGAGAGGGAATTAATTCTGTGGTATATGCCATGTCTGCCATTTATCACATGTAATACTATGTATCATTATGCAATCAGAAAAGTAATATATTATTGCTGCAGATTTTGTTCCTGGACAGCAAACAATTTCTTTGAGAAACTTTTGAATTCTGTTAGAGATGCACAAACTTGGAAATATTAATTAGAGATAAAGTACTCTTCAAACACTTTTTCTTTAAGTTATATGAAATGTGATTGGGAGCTGGGATATATCAAAGATATATTGTTCCTTAAAATGCCATAATAATAATAATAATAATTCAGAGGCCCTGTAGGTAATATCAAGTGTTATCTGGTTGTCAAGCTTCCTTCATTTTATAAGGCTGTTAAAGTATTTTCTCCTAAAAAGGAAGAAAAGCTTTTGGTTGAGAAGATAGTCAATAAGGCTGTGCTCCACAAAATAATAACTTTATTTGAACAAGAGAATAAAGTACCAAGGTAAAGTAAATCTGTATGATCATTTCATAATGCAGTATTACTATCACTACATGAATGAAAATTACTGAAAGGCTTACAGAATTCCAGTGTCAGTTTTTAGTTGCTAGCTTTTGCAAGACTACTTTTGAATTTCATTTGTAGTACTGTGTGTATAGATCTAGTTGTAAACCATGTATATTTACCTTTATTGTCTGGTAATCAACTTTATCTTGATTATTATAAGATACCCATTTGGCCTTAGGTCTAATACTATAAAAAAGCAAAGGCTAACCATATGGCTTTTGTTCTTTGTTTGTTTTTACCATTATACCACAAAAAATGACCAATAGTAAGTTTAACATATGGGTAGTGAAAGTATGGAAGCATATTTTTGCTACTCCTGCCTGATTGTTTCACAGGAAGAAGTCACCTTTTTTCTCAACATTTTCAAGCGTTCTATTGTAAACCATCCAGAGAGTGCTATAAAACACTATGGGATTGTATATAAGTCTAAGTGCTATTGCTATTGTTATTCTATGAAGGCATACACTTGAAGCAGAGTTCAGGTTTCATCTTAATTGTTAATTTTACACTAGAAATCAGCTGGTTTAGGGTCAAATATGATTATTGTTCTTTTCCCAATCTACAGTTCTTCATTGGTGACTTAAACTATGGATTTGAACATAGCCACACACAATCAAGCTGTGTGCATTCGGCACGAACCTTTACAGCATTTGGTAGAATGGGTAGTTTTTGTTAAGGACTGAAGTTGAGTGGAACTAGGAGATCTCTCTGTACATTAAGATAACTGGAATATTACACACCCCACACTTCTGGTAACATTGCCTAAAAGGTAATTTGCTCTTGGCAGGGGATTCTTTTGTGTAGGAGGAGGCTTTCAGGGGATATTGCATTTTGACATGGCTGGAAATTTATTTTCTAAACAGATAACCAGCTATGCTTGGTTTGGGGAAGTATATGTATTTAAATTGGAAATTGACTTTGCTTTTCTTGAATAAAATTAAAGTTTAAAAAAAACCCCACTTGGACTTCTCATTCTTGTGAGCTGTCAGTGTGTCACAGGGAGAGGTGAGAAGGATTTATCATTTTTAGGTTGGGTAGTTCTTATATTCAGAAAAAGCTGCTTTAATATTGTTAACTTAGCTGATAAGGTAACAACATTTTTAATCAATTGTATCTAACTTTATAAAAGTTTTTTCTAATTGGCTTTGCAGCTGAAAACTGTTTCAGTCGGTAGCCATACTAATCATTTTTAATTTAAAAGCCAAAAGTATGCTTTCATTCACTGAACTATTATGTTTGCAAATTGTGGTTGAACCTAAGGCATTGGCAAACTAATATTAAGAGGGCCATGTCTCTAGTTAGTTAGGTACCAAATCATGCAGGTCTTTAAGTATGGATATGTACAGTATGTGTCTTGAATCAAATTTAGAACAGCAAGTGCAGCTCTTTCAGAATGAGCAGAATGTAATTCCACTTGGCTATATCAGTTCAAGTCCATGTAGATATACAAAAAGCTAGATGGTGCTTGTGGACCACCTTCAACAGTAGCTCAACATATTTCACATCATAGTAGTCCAAACATAATTTTACCATTCAGGGATATAGACATCTTTTGCTATCTCAATGGTTACAACTATGAATTATGTTTTTATTTTTAAAAAAATGACTTTATGAGGTTTGAGTTAAAATAATTACTTGCTAGTTTTTCTTTACTGTTCATCTTCAACGATACTTGGACATGTTGATTCAACAATATGAATTACTTCATTATTTCGAGAGCTGTTGTTGGTAAAATGTCAGTATATAACATATAAAAATATTCTTTCATTTTTTTCCTTTGCCTAAATAATAGAATTATGAGGAATTTCTGCCCAAATTTTAGAAGGGCAAAATCTTTAAATTAATTTTTATGTTGTCATTTGGTATTTCACAAAGATATGAAATTGGATCCAATTATTTAGGCCATGTAGTCCAATCCCATATTCAGTACAGGGGTCCAAATTAAAGTACCATCAATAAGTGGCTGTGATTAAATACATCCAGTGAAAAGCCAATGGTCAATAGATGGTTAGTATCAGACCAGAACCAGGGATATCCAGGTTAAAGTTCATCTTAATGCATTATACATTTTTACTCCCATGGATTTATCCAACCCCTTTTTAAAATCATCCAGGTTAATGGCCATCACCACATTCTGTGGAAATGACTTCCACAGATCAATAATGTGCTATATCCATGATTCCCAAACTACATCATTAATCACAGAGTATTCCAAACATTATACAATTTTCTCATAGGAACTTGTTTAAGGCCCTGAATCGTATTGGTTGCCCTGTACTGTCTTTTTCTAGCTGTGTTATATTCTTTTTCTCAAGTGTAATGGCCAAAATTGAATGTAAGATGGTACATGCATGCAGATATATTATAGTTTCATATAATAAAATTACAATTTAGACAATTTTGTTTTCAATTCTTTTCCAAATGATTCCTTGCATATACCATTTTCATGGTTCAGTTGACTGAATCAACATTTTCATTTTGCTACCTGTAATGACCCCAATATACACTGCTCAAAAAAATAAAGGGAACATAAAAATAAGACATCCTAGATCTGAATGAATGAAATATTATTAAATACTTTGTTCGTTACATAGTTGAATGTGCTGACAACAAAATCACACAAAAATTATCAATGGAAATCAAATTTAGCAACCCATGGAGGTCTGGATTTGGAGTTACACTCAAAATTAAAGTGGAAAAAAAACACTACAGGCTGATCCAACTTTGATGTAATGTCCTTAAAACAAGTCAAAATGAGGCTGAGTAGTGAGTGTGGCCTCCACGTGCCTGTATGACCTCCCTACAATGCCTGGGCATGCTCCTGATGAGGTGGCAGATGGTCTCCTGAGGGATGTCTTCCCACACCTGGACTAAAGCATCCCCCAACTCCTGGACAGTCTGGTGCAACGTGGCGTTGGTGGATGGAGCGAGACATGATGTCCCAGATCTGCTCAATTGGATTCAGGTCTGGGGAACGGGCGGGCCAGTCCATAGCATCAATGCCTTCGCCTTGCAGGAACTGCTCACACACTCCAGCCACATGAGGTCTAGCATTGTCTTGCATTAGGAGGAACCCAGAGCCAACCGCACCAGCATATTGTCTCACAAGGGGTCTGAGGATCTCATCTCGGTACCTAATGGCAGTCAGGCTACCTCTGGCGAGCACATGGAGGGCTGTGCGGCCCCCTAAAGAAATGCCATCCCACACCATTACTGACCCACTGCCAAACTGGTCATGCTGGAGGATGTTGCAGGCAGCAGAACGTTCTCCACGGCGTCTCCAGACCCTGTCACGTCTGTCACATGTGCTCAGTGTGAACCTGCTTTCATCTGTGAAGAGCACAGGGCAACAATGGCGAATTTGCCAATCTTGGTGTTCTCTGGCAAATGCCAAACATCCTGCACGGTGTTGGGCTGTAAGCACAACCCCCACCTGTGGACGTTGGGCCCTCATACTACCCTCATGGAGTCTGTTTAAAGAGGGTCCATGGTGAAGAAAAGGTTGAGAACAACTGAGATAGAACATCAGAGAAGAATATTAAAATTACTCCAGGTAAATTATCAAAAAGGTTTTTTTTTTAACTTGAAGAGTAACTTACTTTAGTAAATGTATGGAGACAGCAATTCCAGAGAATATACTTATGTTTCAGAAAAGCATAGATTTGTTTCAATAATATATATGTTGGAACTCAAAAAACTGGCTATTAAGATATCTAAGCTTATTCTATATTCATAATATTACATTCTAATATAATTTTTAAATTTTAATTTTTTCTCACACCATTAAAAAACTCGTTACCCAAACCTCAGGCCATGTCCTGCTAATTTTATTGTTTTTGATTTCTTAACAACATCCATTCCTTCACCCAAACCAAACAACTGGCCACAAAATACAATTTAAAATCAGGCAATCCCAGTCTTCCTCTTTTCTTTGCACCTTGGAGAAGCTTATATTAATCCTTGATTTTTGTCCAACATAGAAATCTGAATATATCTGTTTGACATTGTTTTTTAAAGGATGTATCATCTTTCAAAACTGGAATAAAAACAACATTCTAGGTAACATTCATTTTTATCATAGAAATTATTCTTATCCATGATCATTGTAACTTTCCCATCTTAATCAATCCTTAATTTCACACCATATTTTCAAAATTATTCTGAAATAATTTACAATTACAATACAGTATAATAGTTTACACACTTTGTTAAGTTACTCTCCCTTCTTCTCTTCCGTACTCTTCTCAGTGTAGATTAATGTCTTCCAATCTTCTGGCCAGTACATTGTTCCAGATTTGTGGGAATGGCTTGCTTAAACTCTTTACTGATTCTTCTGTTGCTTGTTATATTTCAGGCCAGGAGGTAAGGTATTCTAGTAGTTTCTGTAGACCTTCAGCTTGATATGTCAATGAAGACTCAATCATCCAGGCCAAAGGTGTCTAAAGGTTGAACCACGGCAACTTTACAAAACTTTGTTAACCTGAGATGTTTCATTGTTCATCCAAGTAACTTCATCAGTCAGAGCAAAATTAGTTAGGCAGAGAATCGTTGGAATGTACCAACTGGTTTGGGATTTCTCCCCAAAACGTGTTGGAATGTATCAGTGAAGATTCAATCATCCAACGGAGGCTCAATCACCTTTAGACAACTTTGATGTGGATGATTGAGTCTTCACTGACATATTGCAATGCATTTGGGGGAGAAAACCCTGAAATTGGTGTAGCAAGAGTTGGTACATTCCAATGACTCTGACTCTCTGCCTAACTAATTTTGCTCTGACTGATGAAGTTGCCATGATTCAACCTTTACACATACTTCAGCTTGATAATGACCACAGTGCTTTCACCAAAAATATAATAAGAGCAGAAATCCTAAAAAAAGCAAAAGATTAATGAGAATAATTAATGAGAAAAATTAAAAGAATGGAATGCTTTAGTTGGTTTAAAATTAATAAAAAGAAGACAAAAATGTTAACAAAAATATGAAGATATAAAATCAAACAGAATTGATGAACAAAATGAGAAAAAAGCAAAATATTTGGGTGGCAATTTGACAAATATGAATTGTATGATGTTTCAAAATTAAGACATGAAATGTAGTTAAGAAAGATATGCTAAGATGGGGAAAAATTACAGTTTTGTTGAGGAGAAGTTCTATGATTAAGATGAATGTTTTACCAAGATGTTATTTTTGTTTCAAACATTGCCTGTGTTTGACAATTGATGTACCATTTTAAAAATGGCAAAAAGATATATCTAAGTTTGTGTGACAGGATAATAAAAACACGAGTTAAGTACAAAGTATTGCAAGATAATAAAAGAAAAAGGAGATTTGAAATTATATTTTGCAGCTTGTTTATAGTGTGGATGAAAGATTAGGTGATGCTGACAAACAGAGGTTATTGGAGTTAGAAAGACATAATGTGAGGTTTTGTTGGCAGAAACTTCCCAGATTGTTCTCGGCTGGGAGACACACCACAGATGCTGAGAAAAAAATGGATGCAGAAGCCAGCTGCCAGAAAGTGGCATTCTTTTAATGTAGGAAGGCAAGAAGCAAAAAGTGACACCGATCAAGTGTTCCTGGCTTGCAAGCAATTTTTGGATTGTGAGTCTATGATTTTTATACCTATTTTCCCTTTGAAGCTTCTGCTAGTTTTATGAGTTTTTGTGTACTTTTAGTTAAAGTGATTGCCCTGTGTTTTGTCTTCCTGCCTTAAAGGGTTAATCCTTTCTCTGGAGCTTTGTCTTTCCTATCCTGGGGGTTAATTCTGTCAGGAAAAGGGGAGTTCCAGGTGGGTTATTTTTAGTTGGTTTTGAGCTGGTTTGCTTCATAGTCCAGTTTTTGTTATTCCTAGTACTAGCCTTTGGCAGTAGCCCAGATTTTCAGATTACTTATTTCTAGTAACGCGTTAATGGCTTTTGGCAGCACACCCAGACTTCTAATCAGCTGGGCTGGGACTTTCCTTTTAGGCTTTCTTAAAGTGGAAGGAATGGCTTGAATCTCTTGGCATTGTTTTCTGAGGTTTCTGGTGCTTTGAGGCTTGGTGGACATGTAAAAAAGCTGAACAAATTGGATTCAAATTCATAATTAATTCATTAGATTTTAAAGATTAATATAAAGCTGAAGCTATAGATGTTTCTTTCGGGACTATGACTAAAAGTAAAAAAAAATCCATGGATTTTTATTTTTATATGTATAATTGCAGAAAGATCTGATATTACTCACAATGGAAGAGTGGATGGTAAAGATGATGGAGCTTCCTGAAATGTCAAATTTAATTGGAGAAAAGATACTGATTAATTTTAATGCTGATTGGAAACCCTTCTTGGACTTTTTGTGTAAAACAAAAAAAATGAAATTATAATAAATGGAATTTGATTAGAAAAAATAGAAGATGATAGAAAAATTAAAGCTACCTTGCAATCTTAAAGTATATGGTCAATTTAAATTTATATGTATAACTATTGTAAAATAAAATCAAGTCATTTATTCCCTCTTTGTTTTATATCTGCACTTTGAGTTTTATTTTCTCCTGTTAGTTTTTGTTTAAAAAATTTATAAAATTATAATTAAAAAAGATTCATTTTTTGCTTTACTCCATGAAGAAAACTGTCCATTTACTCTTATTATTTTCTTTTTCATTTGTTTTTTGGTAGTAATTCATAAAAAGACAGGTTGTCTTAACCCATGGTATGAGCCTTTGATGATATACCTCAAGAAATGCTATTAAATCCCTTTTTAATCTTTTTTTTTCCAGAGGTAAATATGCCCAGCTCCTAGAATTTCCCTTCATAGGACTTAATTTTTAGTTCCCTACTCATTTTCATAAATTTCTTCTACACTTGTTCTAGTTTCTCGAAATCTTTCCACTGAAGTACTGAAAAATGGGATTTGAACAAAAATAAATAAATTGAACAATTATCTGAATTTTTAAATAAACAACTTAACAGTGGCAAACAAATCCAACACACTGCTGTTCACTTATCTATCCTGATGGGACACAGTTTCAGGCAATAAAACTCATAAAGCAATATATGAGGACCCAGATTGTTGGGGGCAATATGCTGACTGTAAACAGTTTAGAGAGGGCTGTAAAAGCACTGTGAAGCAATATATAAGTCTAAATCAGAGGTGGTATTCAGCAGGTTTTGACCAGTTCTAGAGAACCGGTAGTGGAAAGTTTGAGTAGTTCGGAGAACCGGCAAATACCACCTCTGACTGGCGCCGCCCCCAACTATTCTCTGCCTCCCAAGTCCCAGCTGATCGGCTGGGTCTCCTTTTGTTGCCCTGCACAGGAGAACGGAGCTGCAAAGCAGACTAGTGGGGTGAGGAGGGAATGTGATTTTGTAGTAACCTTTCCCCCACCCCACCTGCCATGCCCACCAAGCCAAGCCAGACCCACCAAGTCACGCCCACAGAACCGGTAGTAAAACAATTTGAATCCCGCCACTGGTCTAAGTACTATTGCTATTGCTATTTGGAGCTTTCAGAAACTTTCTGTCAATGAAAAGATTTATTTCCTTAATCTATGATAATTGCTTTAGTTACTCATACACATTGTGGTTCAATAGCATAAAGTTCTGGAATCGAGTGGAGCACCAAGTGGAGTAAATGTTTAACTGTAAAGATATGTCCACATCAAAAATGCCCAATGGTATTTTTAATGGGAGAAGATGGAGCATTAACTCACTTTTGTCCTATGATTTTTATTTTTATATTAAAGAGCACATACAAGTGAAACTCGAAAAATTAGAATATCGTGCAAAATTTCATTTATTTCAGTAATGCAACTTAAAAGGTGAAACTAATATATGAGATAGACTCATTACATGCAAAGCAAGATAGTTCAAGCCGTGATTTGTCATAATTGTGATGATTATGGCTTACAGCTCATGAAAACCCCAAATCCACAATCTCAGAAAATTAAAATTTTACATGCAATCAATAAAATAAGGATTGTACATAGAACAATATCGGACCTCTGAAAAGTATACACATGCATATGTACTCAGTACTTGGTTTGGGCCCCTTTTGCAGCAATTACTGCCTCAACGCAGCGTGGCATAGAAGCTATCAGCCTGTGGCACTGCTGAGGTGTTATGGAAGACCAGGATGCTTCAATAGCGGCCTTCAGCTCTTCTGCATTGTTCAGTCTCATGTCTCTCATCTTTCTCTTGGCAATGCCCCATAGATTCTCTATGGGGTTCAGGTCAGGCGAGTTTGCTGGCCAATCAAGCGCAGTAATCCCATGGTCATTGAACCAGGTTTTGGTGCTTTTGGCAGTGTGGGCAGGTGCCAAGTCCTGCTGGAAAATGAAGTCAGCATCCCCACAAAGCTCGTCTGCGGAAGGAAGCATGAAGTGCTCCAAAATCTCCTGGTAGACGGCTGTGTTGACCCTGGACTTAATGAAGCACAGTGGACCAACACCAGCAGATGACATGGCTCCCCAAATCAATACAGACTGTGGAAACTTCACACTGGACTTGAAGCATCTTGCAGTATGTGCCTCTCCATTCTTCCTCCAGACTCTGGGTCCTTGGTTTCCAAATGAGATGCAAAAGTTGCTCTCATCAGAAAAGAGGACTTTGGAACAACAGACCTGTTTTTCTTTAGCCCAGGTAAGACGCTTCTGACGTTTGTTGTTCAGGAGCAGCTTGACAAGAGGACATTTGAAGCCCATGTCCAGGATCTGTCTGTGTGTGGTGGCTCTTGATGCACTGACTCCAGCCTCAGTCCACTCCTTGTGAAAGTCCCCAACACTTTTGAATGGCCCTTTCCTGACAATCCTCTCCAGGCTGCGGTCATCCCTGCTGCTTGTGCACCTTTTTCTTCCACACTTTCCCCTTCCACATAACTTTCTATTAACGTGCTTTGATACAGCACTTTGGGAACACCCGACTTCTTTTGCAATTACCTTTTGAGGTTTTCCCTCCTTATGGAGGGTGTCAATGATGGTTTTCTGCACAACTGTCAGGTCAGCAGTCTTTCCCATGATTGTGCTTCCTACTGAACCAGACTGAGAGACCATTTAAAGGCCCAGGAACCCTTTGCAGGTGTTATGGCTTAATTAGCTGATTAGAGCCTAGAATATTGAACCTTTTCACAATATACTAATTTTCTGAGATTGTGGATTTGGGGTTTTCATGAGCTGTAACCCATAATCATCTCAGTTATGACAAATCATGGCTTGAACTATCTTGCTTTGCATGTAATGAGTCTATCTCATATATTAGTTTCACCTTTTAAGTTGCATTACTGAAATAAATGAACTTTTGCACAATATTCTAATTTTTCAAGTTTCACCTGTAGTCAGGTCTCAGGTGGTACTTTAATGACTAGCAGATGTTATTATGGCAAAGGATCTCTTGGTTCCATGATCCAGTATTCTAAGATTACCTGGAGAGAAGTAAAAACTTTATAGTTTAATTCCATGTAGCTTTTTTGAAGAATACACACACCCATAACCACTTCCCAGTCTTACCTTCTACCCTGGTATTGCTAAGTCCCATTCTTAACTTCCAACCCCAGGCAGGCTTGATCAGTCAAATAGATTGTTTATACAATTCGGGGGGGGGGGGGGCCCTAAACGAACAAGAGATACTATCTGAAGGTTTCTAGGAAAGTGACTGTCTTTTGCAAAAACAATCTTAGGATCACCAAAGATTAATACACTTCTATTGCATAAACTTTGGTGTTTAAAATGGACTGTGATCCAACAAAGCCTTCCAAGAATTTGATTTTAAGGATAACCTAGATGCTACAGGGCTGTATGTCCTTTCCAAAACAGATACATAGATTTCACTATTAAATGGACAAAACTCTTTCTTCCCATAAATAGCTCCCATCTTTCTTAACATCAAACTTCGTGGCACTCTTAACAAAGTTTGGATTGTCCAAAGAAAGGTACTTCCAGTTTTTCAGTTTTGCTATTTTTTCCTCGAAGAGAGTCCACAATGTTCTCTTTTTCTTGCGTTCGTTTCTACGGTACCCAAAACAAGCCGTAGCTGTGGAAATGAAATCAATAGCGCCCTCCCGTTTTCAATTTCAGACGTAATATTTCATAAACTTCCCGCCTTCTCATACATATGCAAACCGGGAGGGCGGTCCAGCCAGGAAAAAGACGCCTCGCAGCTGCTGATCGCTGACGCGCCATCACACCACGAGCCGCTCTGTCCGCTGATTGGACAGTGGAGACCTGGTCTCATGGACAAGCAGCCGCGCGCGGCGGCGGTGGCTCCTCGCAGGTGGATGGGTGGAGTTCACAGAAGTTAGAGCAAGATGGCGCCGATTGGGGATCTAAGCCCGGAGAACCCGAGTTGAAGCAACAATCCCCGCCTAGGAAAGGGTTAATGCGGGGGGGTATCGCCGCTCCCTCTGACGAGGTGACTCTCCCTCTTACGAGGTGACTCGCTTTAACTGAGTCGGGCGCGCCTCGCTGGCAATGGAAAACGGCGAGCTGAACAGCATGGAGACGATGGAGACCCTGACGGAGCTCGGCGACGAGCTCACACTGGGCGATATCGATGGTGAGTGCTCACGAGGCGGGCGCTCGGCTGTGCCCACTATCGCCCCCCTCAGATACAGCAACCGCGGAGGAAAGGGAAAGCGCTGCTCGGTGCGGCCCCGGCCCCGAGGGGCGAAGTGCCGCTAAGCGTGCCTGTTCGGCCACCGATGCACTACTACTATATCCCTGTTTAAATGGCTGGGGATTCCCAGAGCAACCTCACACATGAATTGGCAGGTGTCTCCCAGTGCGTGTAGCATGCAACGCCGTAGTTAGTTTTCTGTTACCCATCAACTCATCCAAATTCAGATACCTACCATTTAGGATAGGAAATTTGGGACTTATTATTTAGATTAAATTTAAGGTATGATTGCAATACAACGCTGTGCCCCTTTGCTTCAGAATAAATATATTGTTTGAAAACTGGTGTGTATTTGTATATATAGGGCAACACTGTGTATGCTTATTTGGAAGAAAGTTCCCTCAAATTCAGTTGCCTTTATTATTTAACATTTATGACTAGGACTCTCTTAGATATCATGCCAGCTCTAAGCATCTCAAAATGGGCTTAGAAGACAGAAATAATATCTAGAATTGTAGGTGGTGTCAGAAGCCCTAGTGCATTTCCTTGTGTATTAGTGGAGTAGTTTGTTTCAGTTGTATTTCTTGGCATGTGATATTGACACTTATAAATATTGAGTGCATTCATCCACCAAGAACAGTAAAAGGTGAACCTGTATGATTTTTGGGTGCTTGGGACTAGAGGGTTTTATGAAAATTTATTATTTTTGTAAGAACATCTATATGGCTGCTCAATGCACACAGTCTCAGTGACTCCTGGCAACTTACAAAGATTAAAAACCCAATATAAAAACAATAAAAAGCAATAACCCCCCACCCCTCTAGTGACAACAATCAATCAATCAATCAAATAAGCCGCTTGATCTATCTGCATCAAAATGGTACAGAGATAATTTTTTTTTGGGGGGGGGGGGAGTTTGTCATTTTGGCAGTCAAAATTAAAAAGTGTACAAGATGTTTTTTTTAACATGACTGAGTAGAAGACATTTTAAGCTGTCAGATACACTTTTTCTTTCTTGTTTTAACATTGCTTCTATTTTTTTATTTATTGATAAATTTGGGGCTCTTTGGGAATGACCTGAATGAACAATCATTTTAATCTGATATTTATTTTAAATGTAATATAATAAATGTAGTTAATCTATGTTCAGTGAAACCATAGTTTAGCAGACCTGGACCACATGCAATGAGTCAAACCTGCCGATTTGCATTATGACATCATGCAAATGATGAATGGAGTCCTTAGTGTTCTTTAAGCTTAGTTGTTTTCATTACCTAAATAGGTAATATTTTCAGTACTAGAAGGGATTTTCTCTCTGTTTATATTGTGGGAGTGGGTAATAAAATGTCTCCAAGAAAATGACCAAGCTCAGAGAGCACCAAGGACCCAACAGTTCAACACTGAGCTACAAATATTCTTGGTAACAAATGACATATTTTGTGTCATTGGAATGTATGATGTATTATACAAGTACTCATGATGGTTTATTTTCTGTTTAATGGACATTGGTGAACAGTGACATCCTCTCTCCTAATTAATCTGTTAAAATAGTTAGCTATCTGTATAATTTGATGGCAAATTTTAGACAAGCTCAGAAAGATAGACCAAAGCTTTTAGAGGCTGCGTATAGTCATGAGGTCTCAAGTTGAAACAAAAAGTACAGTATGTACCAAAATTTCCTGGATATAAAAAACTAATACTTCAGGCAGACAAAAAAAACCCTTAACTTTACTAATATTAATATTAATGTAGTTATCCTGTCTTGTATTCATATGTTGCTTCTGTGTTCCTATTCTTTATAGCTTATTTTTTTCCAGTGACATTTGAATTAATCTAAATTTAAAATCCTAAGGTACAATTTGGGCAATTAATGCCACGTCTTTTTTGCCCAACCTTTAAAAAGGTGGTAGAGTTTATTTTCTCTGGCCAGTTTTAACATGAATCAAAATATTATTTCTTAACATTAACATTTGAATTTTCTTTTTCTAAAAAACAAATTTCTGCTTGCAGTGATTTGATTCACCTTTATACATTTCTGATTCCCCTTATGTTTATTCCCATATTTTCATGTGAATGGAGAATATACTTTGCTAAAGAAAAATAACTTTGCACTTAAAATGTAGCTTTCGAAGTTAAAGTACTTAATCAAATAACTGAAAAGGAGTAGAAAATAAAAATTCTTGTTAAAAACAAGTACCATGTTTTAGGTGTGTTTTATAAATTGCTGAGATTGAGAAAAATTTTATTTGGTGTCAGCAAGTCTATACATGAGGTCCTCGGGTTATGTCCACTTGTTCAGCAACTGTTCAAAATGACAATGATGCAATACAAACTTGAAGTTGTGGCCACTATAGTGCTCCAGAGGTCATGTAATTGTGGTTCAGGCTCTCAGCAACTGGCTTGCGGTTATGATGGTTGCAGTATTCCATGGTCATGTGATTGCCATTTGTGACCTTCCTTGATGGCTTCCCACATCAATGGGAATCCAGCAGGAATTTACAAGTCACTCCTGCTCTCACTAGTTTTTCTCCCAGAAGCCCCCAGGCAGTATAGGAATCTCATGCTCCACAGCACTTGCCAAAGGAACACTGCCATCCGGCTGCACTCTAGCACCCATTTACATAATTTGCCAGCATTTCTAGGAGACTATTCAGTGTTTTTTGCCTTTGGTTGGGTTCCTGTTGTGGTGCTCTGCCCTTGACACAGACAATATGATTGGTGTGGATAGTCTATAGCAGTGTTTTCAAATTCGACAACTTCAGGATGTGTGGACTTCAGCTTGTAGAATTCCCCAACACACTGGCTGGGGAATTCTGCTAGGGAATTCTGGAATGACTGGAGAATTGTCAGAGTTGAAGACCACACATCTTAAAGTTTACAAGTTTGAAACACACTGCTCTAAAGTATAGTGCTTCCTGAGTAATCCTGTTTCAGCATTACTTATGAATGTAATGGTTCCATAGGCTTTTTGGTGATGGGCTCTTATAATTTGGATATCAGCAGAACTTGTGCTCTTTATATATTCAGTTTTAGGGAGAGTACAACTTGCTTCAACTCTCATTGTTTAGATGATTAATTAGGATTTGTTACCTGAGAGTTATTTTTTATTTATTTATTTTATTTTATTTATTTTGTCAAGCGATTATAAGATAACAGGTATAAAGTATAACATAGTTATGAATACATGAAATGGATACATATAAGAAAAATAAAAAGAAACAGGACAGGGACGGTAGGCACGTTGGTGCGCTTATGCACGCCCCCTACAGACCTCTTAGGGAAGGGGTGAGGTCAACAGTAGACAGTCTAAGGTTAAAGTTTTTGGGGTTTGGGAAAGAAACCACAGAGTCAGGTAGAGTATTCCAGACATTGACCACTCTGTTGCTGAAGTCGTATTTCCTGCAATCAAGTTTGGTGCGGTTTACCTTGAGTTTGTATCTATTGTGTGCTCTTGTATTGTTATGGTTGAAACTGAAGTATTCATTGACAGGTAGGACATTGCAATGTATAATTTTATATACTATACTTAGATCGGACCAAAGGCAGCATAGTTCTAGGTTTTCTAGGTCTAGAATTTCAAGTCTGGTGGCATATGGTATTCTGCAACATTTAGAGGAGTGGAGAACTCTTCTTGTGAAATATTTCTGGATTTTCTCAACTGTATTAATATCAGATACGTAATGCAGGTTCCAGACTAATGAGCTGTATTCAAGCAAATGTTTTGTATGCTCTAGTTTTGTATGCTCTAGTTAACAGAGAAAAAGCTATGTAGGGTTAGGTTAACAACTCTTAATGCCTTCTTGGCTATGTAGTTACAGTGGGCTCTAGCACTTAGATCATTAGAAATGAGTACTCCAAGGTCCTTGACAGAGTTTGGATCATCAACAAGTTCTTGACTATTCAGCTTGTATTTTATTTTCTGATTTTTTTTTTGCCAATATGTAGGACAGAGCATTTATTTGTTGAGATTTGAAGTTGCCATTTGTTTGACCATTCTGATACATAGTTGAGGTCTTTTTGAAGGGTAGCAGTATTGTCGGTGGTGTTGAATAGCTTTACATCATCAGCGATGTAATTTTACTCTATAATATACATCTTCACAAGAAATGGAATTAAGATAAAATATACATATTTGGATAAAATACTTTTAAACCCTGACAAAAGTTCAATTTCCAAATTATATAATTATTTATTAGAATATGAAATGGCCGAGAAAATTGTGAAAGGTCCCATGTTGGCTTGGGAAAAAAGCTTTGGTTATAGTATTGATCTGGATGACTGGGAAGAAATCTGGCAGAAAAACCTAACACTAACCAAATCAGTAGCGCACAAGGAGAATTTATACAAAATGATGTACAGATGGCATCTGGCGCCCTCTAGATGGGCCAAAATATCTCCGACAGCCAATCCTTGCTGTTGGAAATGTAAAGGGAAATTTGTACATACTTTCATTCATGGTGGACTTGTCCTGAGATAAATAAATATTGGCTAAAAATAAAAACGTGGATAGAAGAAATTATAGAGAGTGGGCTGGAGTGGAAACTGAAATTATTTTTGTTGGGAAATGATCAAAGGGGACTACTCCGCTAAAGTAAAATATCTGACCATCCATTTATTAACTGTGGCACATATCTCACTAGCACAATATTGGAAAAACCCAAATGTACCACCGATACAGGTTGTTATTCAGAAAACATATGAGTGTGCCCAACTGGAGAGGCTTACACTTAAAATTAACGGGACGGAGGATACAGATTATTACCAGATATGGGATAAATGGCATAAGTGGGTAGACAATAAAAGGGGAAACATGTAAATGAACCTAAGGTACAAATTATATCCAGCGGTTTATAATATATTAAGTACATTAAAACAAAGGTTTTAAACCTTCTTTTCTCTGTTACTACTATTATTAGTATTAGTCATTTATAATATCTTTT